GTGTGTGTGTGTGTGTGTGTGTGTGTGTGTGTGTGTGTGTGTGTGTGTGTGTGTGTGTGTGGGGACAGTTGTCGTGCAGCAGGTGGTTGTTGGTGATTTATTTAGAAGCCGCTGAAGCTCCCAGTCAGCTGTGAACGCAGCACAAGGCTCAGATCAGAACCTAGATGTGGGACCACCAGAGTCCTGGACAGACCTAGACTCTTTGGAGAGTTGTAGACAGAGACTCTGCAGGTTTTGGAGTGTTTGGGTTACTTTCTTCTGATAGTTTGGCAACATGGACAGACTCTGATACTGAACCAGCCGAAGGTAAGAGACAAATACATACAGTATGTATTCATGTGGTAAATCAGCAACCTCTGTTTTTGAAGCAATAATATAAAAGAGAATGCTTTATAAAATAATTCTAAGCATCTACCATAAAGTAAACATGTAAACACATACATTATTACATTACACACATACATATACAGTGTACAACAGAAGTGAGTGTATACACATGCAATATCACCTAAATGTCAACTTTTCAGTGACTGGATCATTTCTAAGTTGAACAGTAGAGTATTTGCTCTTCTAAACAATCAAAACAAACACTTTAAAGAGACTATATTAGGTTCGTTCACTTGTGATTTTCAATCAGCCTAACTGCATGAACATGGTTCTAAAATGAGCTGTGAACAGCATAACTTATGAGACGTGTCTACCTGCAATGCCTGCATCATGGCTCCACATGGAAAAGAATTAGGTGAGGAACGGAGAAATCTGACTGTGACAGGTGGTGTGAAAGACACTTCATAACATCAGCTTCTATGAATAGAGGACAAGACAAAAGCCTCTTTGCTATTTAACTCAAATCTTCTAGATGAAACTTTAGTGAAGAACATGAACAGAAGCCTGATGAATTATGGAAACAGATTCTTTGGTCAAATGAGATCAAAATAAATTTATTGGGCTCAGATGGAGTCCAGCATGTTTGATGTGGACCTGGTCTGGACTACCACAATGAATGCATAGTCCTGACAGTGAACACGGAGGTGGAAGTGAATCATGAATGTGTGTAGATGAACCAAAATGCTGTCAGAGAAGATGTCTCCCAGTCTGCAGAAGCTTGAAGAAGAGGAATATTCCACACATGAAAACCATCCAAGACACAAAATTACACAAAAGTTTCTAAATGAGAGCAAAGTTAAAAATACAACGTGGACAGTATGTGGCCTGACCTAAATCTAACAGAACACCTTTGGAGTATTTAAAGAAAAAGGTAGAGCAACACAACCCCTCCAACAGAATGCAGCTAAAACAATAGTCTCTGAAGAATGAGAAAATATCGCTGAAGAAATTGAGCATCTACCAAGCTGAGGAAGAATGAGTCTAAAATAAAAGCAGACATACAAAGTATTGAAAAAAGTAAAATCGTTTAATATCAGTAATGAAAGATGTACTGAATTTTCTTCTCACTATGAGAACTGTATTTTTATTACAGTAAATCTAAACTGGAATACTCTACAGTTCAACACAGAAGTAATCTGATTACTGTGAGGTGATTCAGTCTAGAATTATTTCACCTTTAAGTCATACTGCACAGGAGTGTTCTCACTTCTCATGTATATAGTATATCAATATTAAATAAACGTGGTTGCATGCCAGGTACTTCTGACCTCTGATCCTAATTTTCAATCCTTGTTCAATCAAACAGAATTTCAGAATCTCTGAACTTTATCTTGTTCACTTTGTTTTGGAGTTGTTTGGAATGTTATACATGTTTAGATTATTTCTCCTGTATTTCTCTTCAAAAAACGCATTATATTGATATCAAGGAACAAATCTCACTATACAGATTAACAAATGTTCAAATGTTACCATACTTTGGTAAAGACATATGATGAGAAGCACTTTCGGTTTCCCAATATTGGGAAATTTGTGCCCTATATTTATGTTTTTCCTTGTTTTCCACAGTGTACACGATACACTTAGTTGAGCTGAAAATATTTTTGCATCAGAACAACAGTACCACCTATTTTTTGTCATTTAAAAAATCCAGGAGTGAAGTACACATCTTGATGAACAACTTGTGCAGTCATGTCATAGATTTAAAATGACAGATGCTTTTCTCAATAACTAAAAAAAATTGTTGTTGTTTTTTTTTTTTTTTGGTTACATAATTTCATTGTAAATTGATGTCAGAAAACCTAAAAACAATTACCTGTGAATTTAATTATGATTGCCTATTTGTAGAAGATATGAAATCCATGTAAAACTATGTGAAAATCTTATTTGAAATTCACTGAAAATGAACATTAAGAACATTATGCATTCAGTTGTAGTAAAAATAGGAGTTTTTGGAAGATACTCTTCATAATTACAAAACAACAACACCACTCATTTTTGTAATTGTGATATTTAAATGTAAAGTAAATGCTTTGATGTATTTTACCAACGAAAATGTATATTATCAACTTTAGAGTGCTAAACTTTTATTAAAAGAAGATCTGTTTTTCAAAAGCATGTACATTTCGTGTACATCCATGGCAGAAATAATTAAAATAGTCATTAACTGTACATTTATTGATGTTTGGCAATTTAAAAAAAAAAAGAAAAAAGAAAAAAAGAAATTAATAGTATAACATCTTTACACAAAATTACCTGACATTTTACGCAACACTATATGCCCCCTGTGTTTACATGATGCAGTCAGTTACAATAAAAAAAGGATATCTTAGAATATTTAGAATATTGTTTTAAATATATTTGAATTGCACGATTTGAATGATTCAGTTTAACCTAAATAATTGCATCCAAAAAATAAATTGGAAAAAATAAAACAAACTGAATAAATCTAATTTTTTATTTGAATTGTGCAATTTGAAATTTAATTTATTAGATTGAAACCATAAAGTGCCATAAATTTGAAACTGAATGTAATGTTTTTAAATTGAATTCAATTATTCTAAAATATATTTGATCTTCACTAAAAAGTCCACTCTTTGCATTTGGTTTTCACTATTAAAATTTAGTTCTTGTAATTTACATTCAAGCAACTGAGACACACATCCAGGCCATTCAGAAAGCGCAATCAAGTGCAGACCCATAGAACTCTCTATCAGATAATTGACACCTTCGATCCACTTTCTCATGGCACATATTTCTGCTCATATTGGAAGAGCGACTGATTTAGAATCCATAAACCTGACTGTGACTGTGCCTGACTTTACTTTCATCTCAAAATTTTAGGTTGCAGAAAACTGCCAGACATTGTGGATAATGAAAAACAATCGCTTTTCAAACAAACCATGTGCTGTTCAAAGTGCACCAAGTCATAAATCAGCACATTAGAGAACATAACAAACATGCAAATCCGACTTAAATCAGAATGGTCTCCTTTGATGGAGCTGGGCGAGCAGTTACCTCCTGCTTCTGTGTTAAGCTAGACTAACCATGTCCCCAACATACCTCTGATGGATGGCACATTAATGTATGACCAAACCGCTTACAGGAAAAGTAAAACACTCAAGTGAAGTCAATTCTTAAGCATCTCTTAGATGTCACCACAAATTCCATTATTTATAGTTTAAAAAAAAAAAAACACCACAAATTCTTCTTTCCAAAATACAAATGAGAGTGATACCTGAGAAAACACCACGCTGACTATGAGCTCTCGTATGTAAACTGCACATATGTGGGTATTTATAAGCCTGACTGTAACTCTGGGGGGCAACTGGGGTTTAAATTTAGCCAAAACACACACAGCCACGTTTCCATCACGTCAGAGCACATTACAGTGACTTACATTCATTCATTTCCTGGAGACATACTTCTACCCAGTGCTAACCTGAAACTAATCTTACCCAAAACATAAACTAAGTCTTGACCCTAAGGTTTGATGACTTATCGTATGGGGCAGTTTTTGTCCCTTTAATGAATCAAGTCCCCACAATGTGACTGTGTAGACATGTGTCAGCCAAACACACACACACACACACACACACACACACACACACACACACACACACACACACACANAGACTAAGGCCCTCCCATTTGTTAGACAAGACCAAAGGTCAGATGACAGTCCTGGTGGAAACCTGTCATTCACATTATAGGACCAATGTTTTTGTAGAAATCCTCAGAGAGATGGACATTAGGGTGGAAATAATTTTATTTTAGGACAAAGACTGGAATCAGCTAGCTTAGTAGCTTAGTTAAGATTAATACTGGATGCAAGGGAAAACAGCAAGCTCATCTTAGCACAATGACCTGAAACAAGAAAAGACAGCTAGTCTAGCTCAGCATAATGACTTGAACTGTGGGAATAATATCTGGACTAGCATAACATAAAGACTGGAGAAAGGGTAAACAGTTAGCTTAGCTTAGCTTTGCACAAAGACTAGAAACAGAGGATTACGTAAGACTAGCTTAGCATAATGACGAGAAAAAGGGGAAACCCCTTGGACTAGCTTAGTTTAAAGACAGGTGACAGAGGAAGCAGGTAGCCTAACTTGCCGTAATGGTTGGAGACTGGGGAAAATATCTGGACTACTTGGTATAAACACTGATGACAGAGAAAACAGTTTTCTTAACTTTGCAGAATGATTAAAAAACAGCAGCTGGCCCTATATAGCATTAAGACTAGAACAGGGGAAAACAGCTGGCCTTGCCTTGCATAAAGACTGGAACTAGAGGAAAACCTCTGAACTAGGGTTAGCTTAACATAAAGACTGGCCCAGAATAGAATTAAGACTAGCAGCCAGCTGAGCTTTGCGCAAAGACTAAAAACAGGGGAATCGGCTAGCCTAGATTAACATGGCGGCTAGAAATGGGGCAAACCATCCGGACTAGCTGAGCATAAAGACTGGAGACAGGGAAAACTGTTCTCTAAACTTTGCATCATAACTAGAAACAGGGGGAAACATCTGGACCAGCTTAAAGACTGGAAACAGAGGCAACAGCTAGCCTAGCTCAGCATATTTACTAGAAGAATTCAAGGATTCAAGGCCTTTATTGGTCACAAACACAGTTATACATGACATAACGCACAGTGAAATGCTTTGCATGCCTGTTCCACACTGAAACAATATTAAGAGGATGAATAAAAATAAAGAATAAACACACAAGAAATAAATAAATATTAAGAGGATGAATAAAAATAAAGAATAAACACACAAGAAATAAATATATATATATATATATATATATATATATATATATATATATATATATATATATATATCTGACGGCAGCAGAGAGAACAGTCTATGGCTGGGGTGGGTGGGCTCACTCACAATCTTCCTGGCCTTCAACCTGCATTGCTTGTGGTAAATGTCCTGCAGGTTGGGGAGGGTGGTTCTGATGGTGCGCTTAGCTGAGTGGACCATCCTCCTCAGGGCCAAGAAGTCCTGCTGGGTGCTGCTGCCCATCCAGGTGGTGATACTCCCAGCCAAAACGCTCTCAATGGTGCAGGTGTAAAAGTTCCTGAGCACCTTGAGAGGGAGCTTAAAGTCACTCAGGCGTTGGAATAGGCAGAGACGCTGTTGAGCCTTCTTCACCAGGGTGTTGGTGTGACAGGACCACGTCAGGTCCTGTGTGATGTTAACACCCAGGTATTTGAAACTCTCCACTTGCTCCACCTCTGTCCTGCTGATCCTGAGTGGGTGGTATGCCCTCTGCTGCTTCTTGCTGTAGTCCACAATCAGATCTTTAGTATTGCTGAGGAGGAGGCTGTTGTCTCTGTACCAGTCCTCCAGGTGGGTGATCTGCATTAAACAGTCCTCCTCGTTGTTGTTGGAGATCAGACCCACCACTGCTGTGTCATCAGCAAACTTAATGATTGTGTTAGAGTCTGATGTGGACAGGCAGTCATTGGTGTACAGTGAGTACAGCAGAGGGCTCAGCACACAGCCCTAGGGGGCACTGATGTTCAGGGTGCATGAGGGGACAGACGATTCCCCACTCGAACCACCTGTGTTCTGCTGGTCAAAAAGCTGTAGACCTACCTGTACAGGGAGGAGGTGAGTCTGAGGTCCTGCAGCTTAGTGATCAGTCTGGAGGGGATTATGGTGTTGAACGCTGAACTGAAGTCCACGAACAGCATTCACACATAATTCCCCTTCCTAGTGTCCAGGTGGGCCAGGGCTGTGTGTAGCAGGTGATTTGTGGGGCTGTCTGTGGAACTGCTTGGCTGCTATACGAACTGCAGGGAGTCCAGGGAGGCAGACAGGGAGGAGGTGATGACATTTCTGACCAGTCTTTCAAAACATTTAATCACCACAGTGGTAAGAAACATGGGAAACAGCTATTCTAGTATAGCATAAAGACTGGAAATGTGGGAAACATGAAATGTGGGAAACATCCAACCTAGCTTAGCATAAAGACTGAAAACAAAAGAAAACACCTCGACTAGCTTAGCGCAAGGACTGAAAATGAGGAACCAGTTAGCCTAGTTTAGCATAAAGCCGGGAACCAGGTGACAACAGCTGGGGGCCAGCATAGAATAAAGGCTGGAACAAGGGGGAAAACTCTAGACCCTGTCATATAATTTATTAATCTATTTGGCAAAAGGTAAAAGAACCAATGAGTTTCCATCAGTTGTCCCTGACCAGCTATTTAAAAAAGCAACAGAAAATTAGAATAAAATCCAATAACATTCAATATAGTAATACAGACAGATATAATATAATTTGAAAACTAAAAGATAACTGCTGCTTTTTTAATATCAAGTGGTGAAACAATAAATTCTTAAGGGTTAATATTGACAATAAACCATGCTAAAAATCACACATAAATTACATAAATACAAAATTGTGTGTTGTAAGCTTTACCTTTGAGGGCTAACTAAACATTTTGATTTGTCATTTATTAGTGGATTTTAGCGAGTAAATAACTCGCAACAACCTGGAGCTTCTGGGGCCCTACATGATAATTCAGCCTTGTGCCACAAAATAAGATCCTTTACAATTGAAAGTTAAAGTTTCTGTCAACCATTTGTATTCTTGTGTCAATCTTTTTGATAGTGGAACCAATGACTGAAGAGCACCACAGTAAGCTCCGCCCACTGCCAGTTGCTGTTTGTTCTAAAGAAAAAACTAACACAAGCAAACAGAGGAGAGTCCATGTTACAACACAGAGAGACCAAAGCACTCAGTCTGGTCCTTATTAGTCAGTCAGTGTTGAACGTGGTCAACCACAGAAACACGTTCATGTTGTTTAAGCAACAAGATGAAAATCTGAAGTCACTTCATTAATTATTTCATCAGTGAGGACCAACACTGACTCAGCAGGTAGGCCTCCGATTGAAGCTTATAATCATTACACATCCAAATAATTAATAGCTGAAATTATTCAGGTCCTAAATATAACAACAGAAGCTTGTTACTTGTTCCTAAATCCCACAATGAACCTTCAATCTGCTCATTTATAGCCAGAAAACTGTGAAGTGTAAACAGATAAAATTAATAATTAAAAAAAAAAAGAAAAAAACAGATTAGAAAGAATAATATTTCATCAAATGTACTTATTATATATTATAATATAACAAGAAATTCTGCTGTAGCTCAACTTTTCTCGTTTAATTTTAACTGTGCTAACCTAACAGACATACAGACCTGATTATCTGTGTCTCTTCTGTGTCTTTTGTTTGTGGTCTTTTATATATGTATGTGACATCCTTTTATCTAAGTGAGAAATTAACTGCATTTAAATTTTACAACCTATTTGTAAAGCCCTGGACTTTCCAACATCAACTGTGATTTCTGCTCATGTTCACGTTCATACACATTTAAAACATCACAGAAAAGCTACACCTATCACCTATGATTGAAATACTAAGAAGTACTAAAAGACAAAACTCAAATATTATATAATCAAAAAATAGTAAATATTACAAGTCACCCACACTTGCCTGGCAGCAAGCGTACCAGAAAAAAAAAATGAATTGAAAAAAAAGAAGAAAAAAAAAGCACCTGTGTTACACAAATTTTACTTTTTTCCCCACCCTGTTAAAAAAGACACATTTTTATATGAACACACACAGAACACAGAACACAGAGGATTTAGGAATGATTAATGATTTAGCAAATATGGAAAAATAAATCAACTTGCTGAAAGAGCCACTAGGGCAATGATTCGTTTGTGTTGCAGGTTTTCTGATGGCTCCTGACGAAGAAGAAGGTCTCAGCTAACATCAGACAGGTTTGTCCTGGTGGTGTCGCTCTGACAAACATCACACATATTGGAATCATTCAGGAAACTGAGATTTCACTCATCATCATCACTGCAATGCTGCATTACCTGAATGCACTGCCCAAACGGCTTTCTTGCAGTGTTCGTAAAAGTAGTCAGGCCCCTTCAAAGTTTATCCCTTTAAATGCTTTTCAGAATTTAATTGCCATCAAAATAAATTGGCTTTTTTGACAAGAATTTACAACAACAACAAAAAAACCCTTTCATGTCAAAGAGCTTGAGCAGTTTTGCAATGAAGAACAAATTAAAAAATTGCTGTGTCCAAATTGTGCATCTATTAAATACTGACTTGAAGGAGGTGAATACTAAACAATAACTTAATTTACATATTTTATATTTTAAATTAATGGACATTACTTTGTAGAAATCTGTTTTCACTCTGAGTCGTTTTTTTTGTAAATTCTTATCAAAACAGCAAAAAGTTATATCGACCACAATTAAATGTTAAAAAGCAATTAAAAGGGAAAACTTCCAGGAAAGGTGATCCCCGTTTGTTGGTATGGTATGTAGTAATTTTAGATTGAAGCAGGTGTTTAAAAAGACACTTTTCATGGCTGGAAGTTAAGTTAAAATCCTTGTGTTTGACTCACAGCTGCTGTTTAATCACTGTCAGTCACAGGCTCAATATGAACGACGATTAGAAGAACAAAGAGTGATCAGTTTTAAAGAGAAAGATGATCACAGTCAGAGACCTCACTAATGGACTGTAATACATCATAATCAATCCCTCAGTCTGTTAGTGATTCATAGTGAGACTCAGAACTCAGTAACTGGAAGCTCTCACACGGAGCATCATCATGATCAGAAATCCTCAACAGGCAGACAAGAGCAGGAAACCAGCTGATTTACATCTAAAGGACAGGTAACACTGACTTAACTGACAGGTAACACTGAGGTAACAGACAGGTAACACTGACATAACAGACAAGCAACACTAAGATAACAGACAGGTAACACTAAGGTAGCAGAAAGGTAACACTGACTGAACAGACGGGAAACACTGAGGTGACGGATAGGCAACATAAAGTTAATGCACAAGTAGCAGACCGGTAATGCACAGATAAGAGACAGGTAACACTCAGGTGTGACGTATCTGTGTGGTCTTTCAGAGTGGTGCTGATCGGTCTTCCTGTCAGCCTGCTGATGGAGCTTCGGGCTGCCACACACCATCCAGCGTTACGATGGCAACACTGCATCCACCTGACTCTGATGCTGGTCCAGCTGAGTTTACCAGAAGGTGCAAACAGACACACACACACACACACACACACACACACGTAAACAACAACCTCCGCTGAACAACACAAACTCACTCAGAGTTTATTTGAAAGGCAGCTGAGACGCCACATGATCCTTCAAAACATTCATGTGGATTTGGACCTTACAGGTAAGCCTGAGGTGGCAAACGTCTGTCTGTCTGTCATCAGCCTCGTTGAGTGTGTGTGATCGTGGATCTATGACATTTTTCCACCTGAAAAAGTTGCTTTCTTATGATTCATTCAAGAGTTTAACTGCACATCACTGCAGCAGTGGCTCCAAACACATAGATCGTACATTTCCCATTATGCAATATCACTATAAACCCATCAGTACTATTTATGCAGACTTGGTAGGTTTCAGTGTCTATACTTTAATACTATATAGTATGCCAGAAAAAGGTTGTATATGTCGCAATACATAGTGTGTCAAATGCAGTATGGCAAAAATACCAGGGTGCTCTGCTGTATCCAGTTTGCAGCCTTGCATGCTGTTCTGTTCATTCTGACCCACAGTCCTGTGCACAGATTAATCTTGTAAAAATTAATAAGGCAGACACTATATTATAACAAAATAATAAGTCCCAGCTGTATGCATAGCACATGAAACACTATAAAGCTGACGTACGAACTTGGAGAAAAAAGGAGCATGTAAGTATGTAATTTGAAACACAGCCACTGAACGACAGATATCCACCTGCAGTTTTCTAATGTTCAAACTAAACTCTTCCTGTGTCTCTCTAGTCGGAGCCTCCTGTCGTATCCTGAGGTGTAACTCTGACTTTGTTGCTGCAACACTGGACCTGGGCAGCAGCAGCAGCAGCAGCAGCAGTGCAGTGCCAGCAGGTGGCGCAGCTCTCAGCAGGGAAGCAGTAAACGCTGGTTACTGCAGTGCCCTGCGCTCCTACGACATGTGCACCAAGCGAATGGCCCGGGCATGTCGTGGTGACCTTGCATACCACTCTGCAGTTCAGGGTATCGAGGACCTGCTGATCCAGCACCGCTGTCCCCGGGCAGGACCCACAGCCCAGCCACGGCCTCCGCCTCAGGGAACGCTGTCAGGGGACACCTGCCTCTATGAGAGGAGCTTCTTCGGCAGGGAAGGACGGACGCCAGAGTACCTCCACTGTGGCGTGTTTGGAGACCCGCACATTCGGACTTTCAGCAATGAATTCCAGACGTGTGCCGTGCAGGGGGCGTGGCCTCTCATTGACAATGAGTACCTGTACGTACAGGCCACCAGCTCGCCAGCCAGGGGAGGGACATCTGCCACAGTCCTCACCAAGGTGAGTCAAAGTTCACAGGAGTATGTGAATGCATCAGTCAAGGCCATAAGCCGTTGTTGTTTTTTGTTTTTTTTCAATGTATTTTTATCACATTAAAAAAAGAAGAAATGAAGTTTTTATGCTCACGTGGGGTGTTGTTTGACTTTTTGTAAATAAAGGTAGAGGATTAAAATCCTTAAAATAAATTAATATTTGATAGGGGAAGGAGCCTGAGCTGGTGCAGGAGGTGGAGCGTTACTGGCTAGATATAGTCGGGCTCACCTCCACGCACAGCAAGGGCTCTAGAACCAAACTCCTGGAGAGAGGTTGAACATCTCTCCTTTTGCCCACGGTGAGAGGCGCTGGGTGGGTGTAGGAATTCTCACAATCCCCCGTCTGAGCGCCGCCTTGTTGGAGATCTCCCCGGAGAGCAAGAAGGTCACCTCTCTGCGACTGCGTGTTGCAGAGGGGAAAACTCTGACTGTCATTTGTGCTTATGCACCAAACGGCAGTTCAGAGTATCCAGCCTTCTTGGAGCCACTGGGTGGTGTCCTGGAAGGGGTGCCGCCTGGGGACTCCATAGTTCTCCTGGGGGATGTCAATGCTCATGTGGGCAATGACAGTGAAACCTGGATGGGCGTGACTGGGAGGATTGGCCTGCCTGATCTGAACCCGAGTGTTTTTTTTGTTTTTTGACTTCTGTGCTAGCCACGGACTGGCCATAACAAACACCATGTTCAAACATAAGGTTGCTCACAAGTGTACTTGGTACCAGAGTACCTTAGGCCAAAGGTCGCTGATCGACTTCGTAGTCATATCATCAGATCTGCAGCCGTATGTTTTGGACACTTAGGTGAAGAGAGGAGCAGAACTGTCAACTGATCACCACCTCGTGATGAGTTGGATCCGATGGCAGGGAAGGCTGCCAGACAGACCTGGTAAACCCAAACATGTAGTGAGGGTAAACTGGGAACATCTGGCGGAGGCTCCTGTCCATGGGGTTTTCAATTCCCACCTCGGGAAATTTTTTTTTCCTGCATCCCGGGGGAGGTTGGGGACATGGAGTCAGTGTGGACCATGTTCAAAGCCTCCATCGCAGAAGCATTCGTTAGGAGCTGTGGCCATAAGGTCACTGGTGCCTGTCGTCCACTGTGCCACGTCCTCTGCTGAGGGGGCAGAGCCTGAAGACTCAGGGGTTTCTGCATCCATATCCGTGGTAGACGTTGCCGGAAACCGATGGATTGCCAACTCCGGGTGGGGTGGGGGAGTTGCTTCCTCAAGCAAAGTATCTCGGCATCTTGTTCACGAGTGATAGGAAAATGGAGCGTGAGGTGGACAAGTGGCTCGGTGCGGTGTCAGCAGTAATGTGGGTACTGTGCCGGACTGTCATGGTGAAGAGAGAGCTGAGCCACAAGGCAAAGCTCTCAATTTACCAGTCCATCCAAGTCCCCACCCTCACCTATGGTCACGAAGTTTGGGTCGTGACTGAAGGAACGAGATCGTGGATACAAGCAGCCGAAATAAGCTTCTTCCGCAGGGTGGCTGGGTTCAGCCTTAGAGATAGGGTGAGGTGCTCAAACATCTGGAGGGAGCTTGGAGTAGAGTCGCTGCTCCTGCACGTTGAAAAGAGCCAGTTGATGTGGTATGGACATCTCATTCGGATGCCTCCTGAGAGGCTTCCTCTGGAGGTCTTCCGAACATGTCCACCTGGGAGGAGACCCCAGGGCAGACCCTGAACCTGCTGGAGGAATTTTATATCTCTTGGCTGGCCTGGGAATGCCTCTGGATCCCCCAGGAAGAGCTGGAAAGCGTTGCCAGGGGGAGGGAAGTCTGGAATGACCTGCTCCACCTACTGCCCCCGCGACCCGACCCCGGATAAAGTGGAAGAAAATGGATGGATGGATGGATGGATGGATGGATGGATGGATGGATGGATGGATGGATGGATAGATGGATGGATGAATGGATAGTTATAATTAGAACTTATGTTTAGTAAACTATGGGGTATTATTGCAGCAAAACTGTTTGTAAATGTGTATGGAGAGTTTTGCGTCTGTATCTCAATCTGTGTGTCCATAGTGAGATTTGTCAATGCAAAAAATGATTTTTCAAAGTGTGCAAAGACATTAATAGATAAATAGTCTAAGTATTTGACTATAAGTGCTGGAAATACAGACAAATCACCAGTTACAGGTCCAGTGGGTCTCACAATTAGCTGTTTTTTTTTTTACACATGACTTTTGCTACACTCCTGCCATGAGAGATTTGTATCTGTAACTTCAGGGTTTCTGTGCCCTGAACTCAGGCTCACAGGCTCGTTCATTCTTGCTGAGTACTACTGCTCTTTACGTCAGTACTTATGCCGCCTGCAAGCCATCATGAAAGGTTTTGCTCAGTGACCCGTCAACTCAGCAAATTTAACTTGTTTACATATACCAGGCTTAATTCGCATTTTCCTTTTTATTTTTTCAACATTTTGAAAATTTCCTACAAATTTGTTGAACATTTTATATTGAAAAACAGCTGTAGACTATATATAGAATACTACCATAACTCCGCCTATTTGTTTGTGGACTGCTGTCTATCTTGTTTTTTTGAAACCACAGGTAACGAGGGACAGGTGGATCTGACTGAGACCTCAAGGGTACAACAGTCTGCCCTAAACTTAACCCTATTAATAATCTATATTCCTAGAAATGGGATCATAATTTACAAAGTCAACATCATGCGTTATTAAATGCGACTTGAAACAATCAACTGAGACCATAAAATAATTATGAAAAGGTTACTGACATACTGAATTACGGAGGTTACTTATTTTCTCATAAATGTCTAGACAATCAGACGTGTTGTTGCAACCAGAGGAGTCGCCCCCTGCTGCCTGTTAGAAAGAAAAAAGGTTTAAGGCTAGAAATACAAACAAGCCAGAGTGTTTCTTTCTCTCCTTTAGCAGAATGATAATGAGGCGATGAACCTCTGCCAGACTAAGTCACATAAAAAGCCCTGATAAAATCTTTTCAAAAACACGTAGATTAGTGTCACAAGCACATAAGAAGAACCAGCATCACAGAAAACAGCTTTTTGTTGAATGAAACTGTGGTTTATATTTTATTTGCATTTAATGTGCGTCACTGTTCTTTAACATGTGTTTCTTGTTTTCTGGTGTTCCCTGCCAGATCACCATCATCTTCAAGAACTGGCGTCAGTGTATTGATCAGCAGCTGTACCAGGCGGAGCTGGATAACGTCCCTGCAGCATTTGCCGACGGCTCGGTGTGGAGTGGCGAGCGCCGAGGTCATCGCAGCCTGACGGTGAGGACTCAGAGCCCTGGTCGGCACGCTGAGATCCGAGCGGCTCACATTGGTACGCTGCTGGTGGTGCGTCAAAGCGGCCGCTCACTTGGCCTGTCGATCCGCTCGCCACGTGGTGTCGTAGAGGCATTTGGCCCCGAGCAAGATCTGCAGCTGTGCATGTGGGGCTGCCCCCCCTCACAGAGACTCAACACGCTTCGGCCGCCACCGCCGGACTCCTCGGCATCTGCCGCCATTGGTGCAGAGGCTCACTGCGCCGCACTGCTTCCTGCCCGAGACGTCTACTACCAGGCCTGTGTGTTCGACCTGATCACCAGCGGAGACCTGAACTCCAGCACAGCCGCTATCAGCGCGTTGCAGGATGCCCGCAACATGATCTCCGACAGGGAGGGTGTTCATCTGCTGCCAGTTGCCTCCGCAGGGCGAACACGACCAAACGTCACACTGCTGCTGCTGCTCGGCATGCTGGGAGCTCAGAGCAGCAGAAACTGACCTTGAGGTGTGTCTCCGCGGAGATGTATATGTAGGGATTTGCCCACCTCCCAGCGTCGGACACTCGATGGGCAAGCAACATGGCAGATGATTGACAGGTGCTCTTCAACAGGAAATCAATTTAGGCCCCGCCCTTTTTATACTGGCTTCACCTGAGTGAAGAAACACTTCACCTGTGGACTGACTGCTCCTGGATTTCACACTGGACCAACACAGTTGGAAGCTTTGTCTGATAAATAGTTGAAATTAGGGATGCACTAATCTGATCTGAGTCGTTAAATAGTTAGTGTCTGCGGATATCTATCTCATTAAAGGACAATAAAGACATTCAAATCAGTCCAATATACAGGTGAGACGACAACTTTACATACACTGTATAAAAAGACAGAACTTTTTTTTCCCTCACTGCCTGACATTAAATGTGACTAAATGTTTCCTGTATGAGATCAGTTAGGATTAAAGTTATTTGGGTTTTCTAAATGTCAGAATAATGAGAGAGAGAATTTTTTTTTTTTTTTTTGAGATTTTCTTTACTACTTTCTTCAAAGTCAGAAGTTGAAATACGTTTCCTTAGTATTTGGTAGCATTGCCTTTAAACTGTATGACTTTGGTCAAATGTTTTGGGTATACTTCAACAAGCTTCTCACATTTTTTTTTGCTGGAATTCTGGCCCATTCCTCCTGACAGAACTGATGTAACTAAGTCAGGTTTGTTGGCCGTCTTGCTCCACACACCTTTTCAGCTCTGGCCACAACTTTTCTACAAGATTGAGATCAGGGCTTTGTGATGGCCACTCCAAAACATTGACTATGTTGTTGTTAAGCCACTTTGTAACTAATTTGGCGGTATGCTTAGGGTCATTTGGAAGACCCATTTGTGCCCAAGCTTTAACCTCCTGGCTGATGTCTTGAGATGTTACTTCAATATTTTCACATAATGTTCTTTCCTCATGATGCCATCTATTATGTGAAGTGCACCAGTCCCTCCTGCAGCAAAAGACCCCCACAACATGATGCTGCCACCCCTATTCTTCACAGCTGGGATGGTGTTCTCAGACTTGCAAGTTTCCCCTTTTTTCCCCCTTGGTCACTATGGCAAAACAGTTCAATTTTAATTTTATCAGACCACAGGACATGTCTTCAAAAGTTAAGGTCTTTGTCCCTGTTTGCATTTGCAAACTGTAATCTGACTTTTTAATGTTGCTTTTGGAGTCACATCTTCATTCTCTCTGAGTAGCCCTTCAACCCTTTTCAGTACAGGACTTGGTTCACTGTGGATAATGACACTCTCTTACCAGTTCAGCAGCATCTTCACAAGGTCTCTTGCTTTTGTTCTGGGGTTAATGTGCACATTTTGTTAGGAGAAACTCCTAATATGTGTAGAGTGACTCAGAATGCGACTGATGAAGCGGGAGTGGTGACAAAAAAGGTTTATTGTGAAACACCAAGGAAGTGGGGGGGAGAGGAGTGTCCGTGCTTGAAGGTCCTTCAGTGGAGGAGGTGAGGGGGGATCCGGGAACTCCAGGGATGTGGTCCAGTGCGGGGAGAAGTGCTCGACGCTTGGAAAACCCGTGAATACGACCGGAGTGCTGTGGCTGGTGGCGGAGTCATGGTGGCAGAGCTGGGAATGGCGTCAGGCTGTGGAGGCTCTGGGGTAGAGAAGGAAACGAGAGGCAAGGATTAGCAATCAGGAACAAACAACAACTCGAGATCTAGAAAAACAGTTCTTTGGCCGATCTAACGCTTGAAGCAGAGTGAATCGTCTGGCGCTGCAGTGCGTGGGGGGAAACCGGCTTAAAAGCAGCGCTGATTGTAACAGGAGACAGGTGCGGTGAATCAACGAGCGAGTCCTCCTCGGCCATGGCTCCGCCCAGCCTGAAAAAACATGCACAGCACATACAGCAGAAAAAGCAAGCAATAAACTGCAACACACTACTAGAACCCCAACACATTTCACACCAAAACACGTGCATCTCTGGGACACGGAACCCATCTCCTTCCTGAGCGGTATGATGGCCATGGTGTTTATAGTATAACTGTTTGAACAGATGAACGTGGAACCTTCAGGCATCTGGAAATTTGATGAACCAGACTTGCGGAGGTCCACAGTTCTCTTCCTGATATTTTGGCTGATTTCTTTAGCTTTTCCCATGATGTCACAAAAGGAAGCAGTGTGTTTGAGGTGTGCCTTAAAACACATCTACAGGTGTGCCTCCAATTAACTCAAATGTTGTCAATGAACCTATCAAAAGCTTCTAAAACTATGACGTCATCATCTGGGCTTTCCCAAATAGTTTGAAGGCATAATAATCTCAGTGCATGTAAACTTCTGACTTTAAAGAACATAGCAAAAAAAATCTCTAAAATTCTCTCTCTCATTATTCTGGCATTTAGCAAATACAAATAATTTTGGTAATCCTAACTGACCGAAATTGGGAAAAGTTCAGCCTGATTTAATGTCAGACAGTGAGAAAAATGTCTTTTTATGCAGTGTATGTAAACGTCTGGTTTCAGCTGAGTATTTTAAACAATTGGAATAGCTTTGCAGTGCATTAAGAAAAAAAATTCCAGTCTGCATCCACATGGGCACCATGACAAAGACTTCTATGATGCTCCAGGACATTCCTGCTGAAACGTGTTTATGAAAACATGCAAGATGAGAAAAATTCTTTGCAGTTGCAGAGTCTGTCTTCATCTCAGATCAGCAATGGTTAGTTCAAACTTTTTTCAGGAGTTTCCAGAAGTGGTGAGTTGCACTGGTTGCTGTTGACATATGTAAAGTCGCTTAGACCTAAACTTGCTCCGTCACTCGATGCGGTGCTACCAGAACCAGCAACTGATATTAAATGTAAAACGTGGAAATGACTGATCCTGTGGACAAGCACCATCAGAGCTGTTAGTTTAATCCACTACATGCAAATGCAAATGAGCCCTATCTGATGTCAAATACAACCTGCCACCATTGTTAGAAGGCGTCCAAGTGCAGCGCACTTTAGTCTCCAGATGGTTCAAATAAAGAAGCTGTTGGCTGCTGCTGAAACTGATGCAGCATTTTCATTTCTGCTCAGATTTGGTGGAATCTTTCGAAGAAGTTCAGAAACATCAGTGTCACTGATTGAATGTTTTAAGGATATTTATGTTAGAACCTTTTTGCTCCTGTCATGTTTTTCCTCACTGTTGGCTCATTTGTCTCAATATAAAGTCCTGCACCTCTATGGAAACAGCCATGGCTAGAAGAAGAGACAACTTAGAAATGTGTTCTGTGCAATACGACATAGTTATAATGACATAAATCATAAAAGTAATAATATTAATAATAATTTCTTTTTCTTTTTTATTTATTTGACAAAAAATGAAAAAACCTGAAATCAACACAAGTCCAACGCAAGTGCCCACAGGTGTTACCAATACTCAAAAATATGTAACTCTGCATGCAGGTAGACATTTAACTACTTACATTTTTGATTCCTTACTCACCTCCTCTCTCCTCTGTGTAAACACTGCCTGCAGTTCAGCCGAAAACTCTGAATTTTTGTCATGTTATTGTTGATCACAGCTGAGTCAGTCATGCCCTTTCAGTGGTGACCAGTAGCACAAAAGTTTTTGTTTTTTAAAGCACCAGAGTAGAGCAAAGGGTTCGTTTCTGGCAAATGTTTAAACGAGACATATAGAATAAAGTGATTTTGATGAATTGTCAAGGTTTTCAGTCTCAATTTGGTCACATTTTACAACAAAATAGCACACAACAGGTAAATAGTCCAAGAACTGATTAAATGTTTAACATCCAATGATTTTTGTTTGTTTTTACAGTTTCTGGCTTTTATTTTGGCGAAGAAAACGGGCCTTTTGAAATCACCAGCTGGCTTTGGGGTTCAAAGGATCAAATATGTGATGAAGCACCTGAGGTCATGTGATTCCTTTGATAAACTGCAGCAGATGGAACATAGCGTCCTGTTTTGTACAAAAATAAGCTGCTCGGTGACTTTATTCAGCCCCTCGTGAGTGGTTGCTGCTGGAGCTTCAGTTCAACCTGGAAACAAATGAACCAGAGTGCTTTTGAATGAAAACATCCATCCATCCATCCATTATCTATACAGCGCTTAATCCTTACTAGGGTCACGGGGAGCTGGCATCTATGAGCCGACTTAGAGCGAAGGCAGGGGACACCCTGGACAGGTCACCAGTCTATCACAGGGCTACACTTAGAGACAGACAAAAAAGCACACTCACATTCACACCTACGGACAATTTAGAATCACCAATTAACCTCAACATGTTTTTGGACTGTGTGGGAGGAAGCTGGAGAACCCGAAGAGAACCCACGCTGCACAAGGAGAACATGAAAACTCCACACAATAAGATCCCAGGTGTCCTAACTAGAACACGAACCGGGGACCTTCTAGCTGTGAGGTGATGGTGCTAACCACCGAGCCACACGAAGCCCTAAATAAAAACATTTAACAGAAAATTTTTGAAAGATTAAACAGTTGGGATGTTATTTTTCAGGTTTAAAAGTTGAAATTTAGACATATGGAAGCAGAAGAGGAAAACAATCTTGGTCTTACAGATTATATTATCTTGACTTTAAAGCCTTTTTTTTGTTTTTATTTATTTTTTTTAATTTAAGAACATAAAACAAAATCACAGGATTTAAAATTACATTACAGTTCTTACTCATTTTTTAACCAACTTTTATTAAAAATATATTAGATATACAGTTCAATTTAAAAGACTTTTAAAATCTAATAACTACATTTTACTGATTTCACAGCTTTGCTGGCTGAATTTGATTTGAAAAACTGTGCAGAAGTCCTGATCTGAACATTGAGACCTGAAAAAATTCAATTTAAAGTAAAAATGTTTCAGTTTCCGTTTTAATGTGCACAGACCGTTGTGCAACAATCACTTACAGTGAAGTGATGAGGTGTAATTAGTCAGAATGACAGGAAGGAGCTGGTTTGTTGGAAGTAGGAGGTGATGTCAGAGCTCTGGCAGGTGAGGGGGCGGGGCCACACGTGAGCCTGTTGTGGTTGGAGTCAGTGAGATAATGATGAAATGATGAAGCAACAGCTGCGATGCTGCAAGACAGAAAAATAAAAAGCACCTTGTTGAAGTTAAATCTGTGTTTTGTTTATTTTTTAAAAAAATCAAAACCGGAACAAATAATTTAACTTTTCCTGTAAACAGACTGAAACTATTCCAGGTTCACATGTATCTGCTGTTTTTGTTCGATAACAGTGAAACAGCTGAGTGATCGCCACTACAGATAATCAGTGCCTTTGCAGTCATCGTGTGTTGCTTTATGGTCACTTTGCACCTTAATATGTTTGCTTATGTGCATTGTGGGCGTCTGCTTCTTTTAGTTTGTTTTGCACTTCTTGTTCAGGCCATTTTGCATCTTTCTTTGGTCATTTCGTCCTTTCGCATGTTTTTATGATCATTTGCAATTTTTTTGTGGTCATTTTCATCTTTCTGTGATTATGTTGCATCTATCTGTGGTCATTTCTTATAGTTGCCATTACAACCAGT